GCACGAATGCTGGGTGCATTTTCAGGGCGCGATCACACTGCAACATCTGGCAAGCGTAGCGCACCCGTGGCCAACCCGTGGCATGCCGCTGAAGATGCGCAGTTAAAAAGTACCGGCAAAGATCTACTAACAAATGGTTTGCCACAGGCTGCAGACGGACTTGATCGGTGTGATCACGCCAGCACGTGCCTATTCCCTCCGGCCGGCCTCTTTGCAGTGCGCGCCAAAGGACGAAACCCCGGTGCGCCGCTGTTGCGTCTGATTGCATAATGGCGGATCAGAATGCGACAGCGCAAATAGCCACGCCTCCCTCCCCCGCGTTTTCCGGCATGTGTGGCCGGGGCCTCTGGTTTGTTTCTGAGGTACTCCTGGACTCAAATGTAACTGTTTAAGAGAGAGTGTGGTCCTCCTCAGGGATCCATCTCAGCTAAAAAGCTTTTTTGGTGAGCGCGGACTCTAATCTGGGAGAACCGGGTTTGATGCCCCACTCCTCCACATGCAGCTGCTGATGTGTTCTTGGGTCAGTCACAAGTTCTCTCAGAGCTGTTCTCTCACAAGCAGTTTCTGTCAGAGCTTTCTCAGCCCCACCTACCTCACAGGGCATCTGTTGTGGGTAGGTGAAGGGAAAAGAGATTGTAACCTACTCAGAGACCAATTTCACACAAGAGCTGTGCCACGGTCACACGTCCCTTTGCCCAGCTTCTATTGGTCAATTTCCCACTCGAAGCCGCACAGCTGCATTTTGACCCGTGGCTTCACCCGATTTTCCCCCGCGGCTTCGTGATCCTGGTTTTTTAGGATCACGAAACCGTAGGGGAAATCGGGTGAAGCCACGGGTCAAAATGCAGCTGTGCGGCTTCGAGTGGGAAATTGACCAATAGAAGTGGGGCAAAGGGAGGCGTGACTGCAGCGCAGCTCTTGTGTGAAATTGGTCTCAGACTCGTTTGGGTAGTGAAGGGTGGGGTATAAACCCAACCTCTTCTTCTCCTTCTTCTATTTCCCTCAAAAGCAATGGGGGGAAAATAAGAATGCCTGTCCCTCTAGAATAAGGCAACTGTGCTGCAGTGTGATTCCTTCGTTAGTTCCGTTTGACACCAAACATTTTGTAAGAGCGTCTGTTCCCTCAAATGTCCAAATGCATACTTTTTTCATTAGTCATACAATCACCCCATCAGATAAAGAGTCTTACCCTGTCATGCAAACGATCCAACTTGTCAAAGTCAAACAATAACCTCTACGCAGAGTGCCTTCCGACACCTCAAGAGACTTTCCCCAACACATTATGGAACATGCAGATTGGGACTGGGGCGCCGAGCTGTGTACAGATGTGTCGATTGCATGAGAAATGTGGGTCTTCAGTGCTCACAGTTGAGGTCCCTGATTCAGATCGTCACTGGGGTGTGCATGGAAGAAGAAGTATGTTTTTAAATTGTAGGTATATTGTTGTTGTTGTATTGTTGTTTTATTGTAGCAAGTTTATCTTGCCTTGTAAGCCGCCCTGAGCCCTACGGGGGAGGGCGGGGTATAAATTTAAATAATAAATAAATAAATACATAAGAAGAGATTGGATTGATACCCCGCCCTTCACTTGGAGTCTCAGAGCGGCTTACAAACTCCTTTCCCTTCCCCTCCCCACAACAGACACCCTGTGAGGTAGGTGGGGCTGAGAGCAATGTTCCCTCTAAGCTGTGGAGTCTTGTGAGGAAAAATTCTACTTTGTGAGCCACTGGGCATTAAAGTTGTGAGCGAGCGATTTGGCTGCTGCATGAATCAGTTTGCTCTGGAGCCGTCCTTCCTGAGCTAAGACAAAAATCTGTGAGCCGGAGGCTAAAAAACTGTGAGCTGGCTCACACTCACTCAGCTTAGAGGGAACACTGGCTGAGAGAGCTCTTGACAGAAACTGCTCTTTTTCAAGGACAGCTCTTATCAGAACTACGGCTTGCCCAAAGTCATCTAGCCAGGTGCAAGTGGAGGAGTGGGGAATCAAACCCGGTTCTCCCAGATTAGAGTCCGCACACTTAACCACTACACCAAACTGGCTCTCCACACCAAACTGGAGAAGTAGCTTCATCTTCCCCCCCCCCTTCCCCACTGTTCTCCTGACCTACAAGAATCCCGGGGCCCCGGGTGTGGTATTTATTGGGGAAATCCACATGTATACATGCGGATTTTCCCAACAGGTCAAATGGCATGCCCCCCACCCCCGAGGATAATATTAAGTCAGGAAAATGGTGAGGGGAAGTGGCTGAAGCCCCTTGTCCACACAGACTGCAGCTGCAGTCAGAATCGGGGACTTCATGTGTGGGGGTTAAAGAGAACCTACAACTCCCATGTGACCATTGTGCGGGACACAGGGTTGGGGACCATGGATGCAACCTGCCTGTTCTGTGATGGGTCGACTGGGCTACTGTCCTGAACTTAGTTCGGAATCCCAGGACCTGTTTGAACACCCTTGTCTTCTGGTGCATGGCTACAATGGGGCTATTGGGTGCTCCGCCCCCTTCCTTAAAGGGCCAGCCCCACACAAAATTTTTGAGAATAAGATTTTTTTTTTTGAGAATAAGACTTTTTGAGATGAATGGGGGACCGCATGCATGCCTCCCACTTTTGAGAAGAAGCGGGGGATGGTGCGCACCCCTCTCCCTCCCTCCAGTTTGGTGTAGTGGTGAAGTGCGCAGACTCTAATCTGGGAGAATGGGGTTTGATTCCCCACTCCTCCACTTGCACCTGCTGGATGACCTTGGGCAAGCCGTAGTTCTGGCACAGCTGTCCTTGAAAAAGAGCAGTTTCTGTCAGAGCTCTCTCAGCCCCACCCACCTCACAGGATGTCTGTTGTGGGGAGGGGAAGGGAGAGGAGTTTGTAAGCCGCTCTGAGACACCTTCGGGTAGTGAAGGGCGGGGTATAAATCCAATCTTCTCCTCTTCTTCTTCTTCCACAAGTTTTAAAGGGCCCTCCAGCCGATCAGTGGGCCACCTGCTTCGCACTGATGAGCTGAAGGGCCATTTAAATCTTGCAAGGGGGTGGCTGCGGTGGTCAGGCCTGGGGGCAGATTGGAGCAGACATAAAAATAATGGCAGCCCCACCAGAAAATGTTTTGCCCCACAAGCCACAAAATCCTGGCTACGGGCCTGCTTGTCTTTACGTGTGTTTTTCATGCTAAGATCTTTGTGGCTGTCCCACACTCCTTTGATAAGATTAAAAGGCCTACCCACACAGCTGGACTATCTCATTCCTGTGGCAGTGAATTGATTTTACTTTCATGCCAACTTTCCTCCAATGTACATGATTCCCACCCCACCCTCATTTTAACCCCACAACAATCCTAGGAGGTAAATTATGCTGGAAGCCAGAAACTGACCCAAGGTAAAGGTGTGCCTGCACACGAAAGCTCCAACCTTGAATACACCTTTGCTGTTCCTACCGGTGCCACTGAACTCTAAATTTGTTCCAAGGTAAAGTGAACTTTCTAGCTGAGTGGGGATTCGAACTCCAGTCTTCCAAACCCAAGGGCGTGTCCTAAACTGAGATAGACTCTTCTGAACCATTGACTTCAATGGGTTTAGGGGTAACCTCGCTTGGGGGCTGCATGCACAGTGAGTCCTCTAAGGTCACACTTGCATAACTTGTAGCAAGAGGGGAGGGCTCTATCCTTTAGGCCCCTTTAACAGCCCTGGACTCCAGTGAGTACAGTCAGGAGGGTTCCTGCAGGAGAAGCATCACACTAGTAAGGTAAAGGTAAAGGTTCCCTTGCTCGAAAGCCAGTCGAATCCGACTCTAGGGTTGCGGTGCTCATCTCCGTTTCCAAGCCGAAGAGCCAGTGCTGTCCGAAGACGTTTCCATGGTCATGTGGCTGGCATGACTAAACACCAAGGCGCACGGAACACTGTTACCTTCCCACCAAAGTGGTACCTATTTATCGACTTGCAATTTCTTGCTTTCGAACTGCTAGGTTGGCAGGAGCTGGGGCCAGAGACACTCCATCATGCGGCACACTCGGGTCTCGAACTGCTGAACTACCGACCTTCCACAGCCTGCAGTTCAGCGTCTTAACCACTTGAGCCACCGCAGTTGCTTCAGTGCAATACTAGTTTCCCCCCAGGTGTGCCATTTTTTAAAAAAAAAAAAAAAAAGAGGGAGTAGTCTGACATTCCTGTACAGGTCACAGTTATGTCCAGGTTTTGTTGTTTTTGTTTTTGCTTTACTTTTTTAGATGTATAACATTTTGTTAAGAGACCAAAGTCTGAGTCCAGTGGCACTTTTAAGACCAACAAAGTTTCATTCTGGGTATAAGCGTTCCTATCCATGCATGTACATGAAAGCTTACACCCAGAATAAAACTTGGTTGGTCTTGATGGTGCCCCTGGGTCTCAAAGTTTGCTCTGCTGCTTCGGCCCAACACTGCGACACACCTGGATCTTTCTTTCTTTCTTTCTTTCTTTCTTTCTTTCTTTCTTTCTTTCTTTCTTTCTTTCTTTCTTTCTATCTTCCATTCCGAGTTCCCTTCCTTTCCAGCAAATACGGTAGCGCTCTTCTAATGAATGGTTCGCTGTTCCCCCAAGCAGAGTCCCCGCCGCCCGGAGAAGCAGGATTTCGCGGCACATTTGTTAGGACGCTCTCTAGAGATCCCGTCGCAGGTCGCGCTCTGCCCCCTACGAGCCGGCTGGGGCCTTGACACACCTGAGCACCGCCTCCTCCTCACACCTGCCAAGGGAGGGGGCGGAGGGCTGCCCGCCCGGCAGGGGAGAAACCCCCGAGGGAGGCGGGGCTCGGCGCTTCCCGGCCCAGCCCGGCAGAGGATGCCCACCTTCGCCGGGCGACCTACCTGGCCGCCCCACCCAGCCGCCCGGCGCGGATGCCTCCCCGGGGAGCTCCGCCTCCTCGCCAGCCGGCCGGGCTGAGTTATAATGGGCTGGTCCGAGAGAGACGCGGAGAGAGCAGGACGGGAGCCGCTCCAGCGTTGGTGCCGTCGCCGCGAGGCTGAGGGAGACGGCGAGCAGGCGGGCGAGCGGACGCGCCGTCGGGGCAGCCCAAGGGCAAGGCGAGCCTGTCGCGGGGAGACGCCCGCCGGGAGCAGGGGGCGCCACCGAGCCCTCCCGCCACCTGTTCCCTCTCCGGGGCTGAGTCTGGGCAGCTGAGCCCTGCCGACCTGCTCGGCTTCGACGGCGCTCCCGGACTCGGATCCCGCGGTCCTGCGGCGGACTCGACCCCTCTGGAACGGGTGCCCCCTCGCCGTGGCTGGAAGCGACGCGGCGGGGGAAGAAGAGAGCGGAGCTCCAGCGCATCTTCGCCGGGAGGACCGGCCGCCCCCCTCCCTCCGCTGCGCAAGGACGCGGACGGGACCCCTTCGGGGAGCGGGTCGAGGAAGACCGGGCGGGCCGGCCGGCTGCAGAGGCCCGTCCAGGTGGGGAGGTGCGTGGACTGCAAGAGGGACCCGTGGCTGTCAGAAGCCCCGCTCGGCACGTGAGCGCTGATTTGGCTTGCTGGAGACCCTCGGGGGAGGGGGAGAGAGAGAGGAGAAACGAAGCAGCCCCCTTTCCCCAAACTCACCACCCTCCCGCGCCCCCGTCGTTCCTGCTCTGAAAAGTCCCCAAAGGCATCCAGAGGCGCTCCGGGCACCCCGCTTGCGCGACTCCGGGACTGACAGCGGAGGGATCAGCCAAGGATTCCCCCTTCCCGGCTCGCCACGGCCCCAGACATGCCCCCCAAGGCCGCCGCCGCCGTCTAGTCTCCCCCTCGTCCGGCGGCCCACTCCCGGCGGCAGGAGAGCCCCCGCGGGAGCCGCCATGAAGCTGGAGATCTTCGCGCCGCGCTACGAGGACAAGCTGAGCAGCAGCGGCGGCAGCAGCAGCAGCAGCGCCCCGTCTCCGCTGGCGGCCGAGAGCGAGCTGGGCTCGGACGGCGACTGCGCCGCCTGCAGCCCGGCCAGCGGCGCCTCCTGCGGGCCGGGCTCGGCG